GCTCAGTAAGAGAATGAGAATTACATTTTCAGACCTGAAGAGTTCTAATAACATGAAAGCTACGATCTTTAGATAGAGGAATTAATGAAAAAGTTGCCTTTTTCTTAATATAGACACCAACTGTGCTTTAGGTACAGCTAACTGAAAAAAATCACCTGTATAATCCACATTGTTATTGTCGAATTTCTTTCATTTATTAATTCAAGAAATACATTTTAATTTAAATTTACATTAGATGTATTCTGTTAATTCTGCTATCATTTATTTGTATTTAGTTAAAGCTCCATGTACCCGGGTTGTTTTCATTTTTACTTTGACTATTTATCTCTTTCACTGGTTCATTTATTACTCTGTATGTGCCATGATATCTGAGTGGCATGTATATAAAAGTAGCATAAGAAGTAAGGAAATGTGTGTTTTGTCGGTTTTGCTTTTTGGCAATGAATCTTATACTGCTGGAAAGCCTGTTTATTTCTCCTTACATAATGTCACATTTGTAAGGAAAAACACATTTGTTGTTAAACAGCAGAGTTGAGTGTGTGTGTGTGATGTGTTCAGAGATAGACTGGTGATCTGGCATACTGGGCATTAGCCCAGCAGACCGACCGGTATAATTATTGTTCTTTGTCGATACAATTATACAGGTCGGCCTGAAGGGCTGGTGCTCACCATCACAGCAACCCATTCTTCATTTTCATTACTGACACTGGATTCCTCAATCAAATCTCAGTCAGCCCTGTCTTCCTTTTGTGCTCATGCACCTTGTAGAAGAGTTTAGTGTCGAATAAGTGTTTGATAACGATGGACAAACAAAAGTGAAACAGTTGAGGTGAAAAAGTAGAGAGGAAAAAAATGCTGTCATTGAAACTACAAATAGATGCAGCAAAATGTGTCAAATTTACTTACATGTTAGTTAGTGCTCTTCAAAACTGAAAATTTTGGTATCGATCCGACACCCATTAAATTAAGGGTAATACTTCCTATTCTAATACTTTTAATGTGAGCTTATGCAGAGCAGATCAGTGTGTCATGATTTATGACCTGAATCATCATGAATTTGCCAAATTCAGAACACATTTTAATGACCACCAAAATATACCTGTGGTGTGAATGAGACATGGCGAGTCCACGGCTCAAGGTTTTGAGCCATTTTATTTATCACAGCTGCAGCTCACCAGCTACCAGCCAGACATACATCACACCACAATCAAAAACACAACCCTATTTCCCCATGTTTAACTTGGTGGGTGTGATTGCAGATGCCGCGCAGGTGTGTCCACCCTCTCCGCATGGCACCGCAAGCCACGCCCCAAGACATACCTCATCTCAATCGGGCGATGGCGGTATGTGGTGGTGGTGGTTTGGTTTGCGATTGAAGTGGGGAGGCACCTGCAGTGGCGGCGCAGCTGGTCCGAAGGTTGACCATGTTGAACGCAAACACGGGCCTGCAGGCACGTTCGTGAGCCCCTGCTCACAGGTGGCTCGGCTGGCATCCGAACAGGAACAGCTGGCACCTCGACCTCGGGCTCAGGTCAAGCAGGCTCCCCTGGCATGGGGACCTCCACCTCTCCCGGCTGGAGCAGCTCTTCACGCAGCGGCTCCTCCACCACCAGCAGGCATGGACCCTCTCGCACCTCATCCACATCTAGCAAGAGCAGCTCCTCCACCGCTTCCCCTCCTCTGGCAGGTGCGAACTTCC